AGGCTGCTGTCTGGGAGAGCCTCTCTCCTTGCTCCAGCCCGATGCTCCCGTCAAGAAGGAGCTTGGAGCAGAGCTGGCGGGGCCTTTGATCTGGCACCGCAGATGAGGAAGGATGATGCGGGTGACAAAGGAGCACATGAGGCACCAATTAAGGGAGCTGGCCCTTCAAGGCCGACTAGCAGCCACATTGTGGCAGCTTCTGTTCACGTCTAGCGCGGCCGGGCAGGTAGAGGGAGGCCGGTTGGATGCAGGTGCAGGCTGTAGGGGACTGCCCCCTGCGGGTGCCACCCTGCCACCCTGTTTTTGAGAGAGCAAGATGGGGGGAGGCCACAGCACCAGGACCCAGGCAGGGGGCCCTGGCAGAAGCCTCTGCCAACCCCGGACCCCTAGGCATGCAGAGCCCGCCCCGCGGTGCCCAGGAGCTGGGGGGGGGGCGGCACAAGCGGAAACGCCTGGGCCTCGAAAACAGGCGCAGCTCGACCCCAGGAGGATCCCCAGCCAGGAGGCCTGCAGCACCGTTCCTGAAAGGGCCTCCTGAACGCCCGCGTCTTCTCTTTTGTGCTCACAAATGCCACCCAATCTCAGTGAGCCTGCCAGGCTGAATAATGAGGCAGAGAGAGTGTCTGCCTGGGGCGCTGGCCTCTGGGCTGTCTGCCAGGCTGTCGCTGCCCAGACTTCAATACCAACAGAGTTAAGGGACAAGAAAACAGCTCGGCAAAAGCTCGGAAGCCGGGGAGGGAAGTGACCTGTCTTGTGAGGCGACAGAGTTCAGTGTGTGCAGGGCCTGTGACAGAGGCTGTCGGAGGCCCCACGCCTGCAGGCTGTCCCCCGCTGGGCGCACACTAACGGTGCCTGGCAGCCAGTGGAGCAGGCCTTGTAAGCACTGCCCTGTCTGGCCGCCCCGCCCGCGCTGCCCTTCCTTCTGCAGCCAGGGGGGGCGGGGGCGTCAGGCTGCTATGGCGCTCAGCAAACGCTGTCCCGACACTGCGGGGCACTTGGAGAATTCTGATCATGAAACACACCTGCTGGGAAACCTCTGGTGACCCCCTTGGCCCACAGAACAATGTCAAACCCCTTGTGAAAGTCCCAACGTCCCTTCACTGATTCTAACGGTCACCGGTACCCGCTGTGCCCCAGAGCCCTTGGAGGAAGGCGTCCAGGTGGTGACAGGGAGGAAGACGCATGTGGTTCCCACCTTCCCTGAGTCGTGGTGCGGAAGGGAAGCCAGGCTCGCAGACTCAGAGGGTGTGCTGGGGTGGGCTGGACACTCTCCAGAGGTGAGGGACAGTGGGATTTCACCAGGCCCAGAAGGCCAGGGTGCATCCAATGGGCTGGGGGCAGTAGGCAGGGAGGAGGGTGACAAAAGGCAGAGGTCAGGAGTGGCCAGCCAGCCAGGGAGGGAGCGGAGGAGGCCAGCCTGCAGGAGCGTGTCTCCCTCTTCCAGGCTGGTGAGGAGGACAGAAGGCTCAGCCCCAGGCCCTGCCTCCGGCCTCCCAGGCCACCCTCCCTAGGGAGCTGCTCCTTAGTCACTACCAAGCTTGCCTGGTCCTGGACTGGGTCCACACCAATCACCACGTGAGAGGCAGAATTGAGAGAAAATGGGAGAGAAAAAAGAGATCAGGTTTGAGGGAAGGGGCCTCGTGCAGCTTCCTTCCTGGCCCCAGGGAAGATGAGAGAAACTGCTCAGCTTGGATCAGAGCACAGCCCCCGGGGCCGAATCCTGGCTCGGCCCTCTGTGAGCTGTGTGGCCTTGGGTGAGTCACTTCCCCAGCCAGTGCCTCAGGTTCCTCATTTGTAAAATGAAAGTAAAAATAGTACCAGTGTTCCCAGGGGTGCTGTGGGGTGAAATGAGCTGACGGGTGTTGGGTGCTCAGAGGGGCTCCCAGCACACAGCAAGGGCTGTATGAGAGCGACTCCTTGTTACTCTGAGAGAACCAGGTGGCTGGGCCTCCCCCAGGAGGAAGGGACCCAGGGCCAGGCCACTTCAGCAGTGCAGAGGTGGGATAAGAAGGGTGACAAGTAAGAGAGAGAGGTAGCTACAAGAAATCAAACAGAGCTTCCACTTTTGTCTGTATCTCATGTTTTCAATTCCCCTTTTTCTGTATGCTTTATAATATACATACTATATTAGCACAGTTGTACATGTTTGGAATTTATTAATCGATAAGCATGCAGTTATTAGGGATGCATGCTGGGTATCTCCTGCTTGCCCCTGGGGACTCCCCCTCTGCCCTCCGCCCTGCCCAGGTTCCCTGCCCTCAGGTGTCAGGTAGGATGGGGCTCCTGGCAGGCACTGGGAGGGGACCAGAGGACAGGGGGAAGTGCAGGCAGGGAACTGATCGTGCTGGCCCCATCCCGGCAGGGCCACCTCAGGCTCCCCTTTCCTGGGGACGCCTCACAAGTTGACTCTCTCCTTCCAAACTGTGCTAAGCATTCCCTCCCCTCCCTGTGGACCTAGTGGCAGCTAGCTCCTGCCCACTGCACAGTCTCTCCCGGTTCCCTTACACCCACACCTTCTTAGAGAGTCCTTTGCAAATAAATCTTACATTACCCAAATTTAAATGTGGCATCTGTTTCCTGCTGGCACTCTGACCCACAGCACATCCTCAAAAATGTCCTACCCACGGGGATGTGTGATCAAAATATTTGGAGATGACTGTTAGTGCACAGTATGGGACCCATGGGTGGTGCAGTTGGTGCCCCGGAATCCTGACCCGTCAGGGCAATCTTCCTCTCTTCCTCTTCCCAGGGAGGAGGGCAGGGAGCAGTTTTCAGTGTTTGCTCCCTCCACGCTTAGAAGCAGCAAGCATTGAGACAGTGGAGTTCATGAAGCTTCTGCCTGTAGCTTGCCAAAGGGTTTCTCCATCCGGGAGCCTGACAGCCAGCAGCGGCAGGGCATCCTCTGCTGTCTTGGTCCCCATTTCCTGCCTGGGGATTCAGTGATTGCTCAGGTGGCCAGCACTTGATTCAGGCAGGTCCTGGTCACAGCGAGACCGCAGCCACTCCCTGGATAACGTGAGGAGACTTTAATAAAGTGTTTCTACAAAGGCGGAGGCAGCATTTAGGGAAACCAGCAAAGGTGCAGCAGCACCCTGGGACTAGCAAGAGTGGGGGCCACCCCCAAAAGTAGCTTCTTGATAGCGGCTACAAGAATGACCAGAGGGACACAAACCTCCTTGTGGTGACTTTGCAGGGAGGGAGCTGGGCAATGAATTCCCCTCCTCAGCCTCTGCCCTTCCTCCAAACCCTGCTGGAAGCCAGAGGGCCAGGGAGCCTAGGCTGCAGAGAAGGCGGCATTCAGCCCAGGAAGCAGGGGAGCAGGGCGTAGAAGGGGAGCGTGGATCAGGAGGGAAAGTGAGAGGGTTTCCTGCACAGCACTGCCAACGCCCTGTGTTCCCAGAGGCCTGGCCCCTACCCACAGAGCCACCGCTTGTCCCTCAGGCCCACGGATAACCACACCCACCCTCCCACCGTAGTCTGTCTATGGGAATGGGGCAGGGGTGCCGAGTGGTGAGAAATGGCTGAGGCTGGAGCGAGCCCAGCCGAGGAGCGAGGAGCGTGCTTGGAATGTCAGATGCCCAAGTCTGAACGCTCCCGCAGGCCAGGTGGAGCAGTGTAAGGCAGCGATCCGGCTAAAGCGGGCCAGAGTCGGCCCTGCGGAGGGGAGCTCGGCTGGAGGTGGAGGGGGGCTCTCTCTGTGATTCCTTAGCAAGCTCAAAGAGAGGAGGGAGCCGGGAAGCCGCAGACAGAAACGCTGGTGCCTCCAGCAAGACACTTAGGAAGAGCCCCTGAGCCGGCGTTTTGTTCACGGCAAATGCGCAAATGCGCTGCTCAGGCTCTGGCCTCCCCTCCAGAGCAGGAGGCTCTGGTGTTTCAGGCTCTGAACTAAGTCGGGAAGAGGCTGGCAGAGAAAGGGGGGCAGAGCTCTCTGCCCTCTTCCCTGAGGAACTGAGAACTGGCTCCCACAAACGGTGGCTGCACCACCGGAGCGGCCGTGCAGCTTTCTGCATTTCTCTGGGCTGCAGGTCCTCCTGTGGAAAGTGGCGCTGGGCAGCCACGCCCCAGGGTTCTCGGAGGAGCACAGGCAGCAGCGCGGGTGAAGGCCTGTGTTCCTCGCCAGAGGAAATGGAGGGTGGTGGGCAAGTGCCACTTCATGGGAACCTGAGAGGGAATGCGGCTGGGGGAAAGGACAGCACCTTCCCCTCCCACCCGCCGGGAGGGTTCCCTGAGCATCTCCGTGGGCCCTCCACGCTGCCGGCTGCTTGGCCCAGGGGAGGAGACGGCGCCGCTCTTGCAGGCTGGCAGCCAGACTGCAGACAAAGCAAACACAAATACAAAACCACACGAGAACTCCACGAGGCAGCATTCATGTTTCCCATTCCTCCATCCTCCCATCCCCGATCCTGGGCCTGGAACATCCTTCACCCACCTCTGTGCTCCCCTGACTCTTTTTACATTTTTTCTATTATAAAATATTTAGGACCTACATAAAAGGTATAAATAACAATGAAATACATACCCATGTACTACCACCATCACCCAGTTTAGAAACAAAACATTATGAATACAGTCAGAGCCCCCCTGGGTACCTGCCCAATCACATCCATCTCCCTAATTACTGAACACCACTATCCTGCGTTTGTGTTTACTATACAGCATGTGTTTGAAAGTTAAGCAGCGCTGTGGTTTGAATGTTTGCCCCCTCCAAAACTCATGATGAAATTGAATTGCCATCGTAACAATACTAAGAGGGGGGACCTTTAAGAGGTGATTAGGCCATGAGGGTGGAGCCATCTTCATGGGTCGGATTAATGCCATCATAAAAGGGTGAGTTCAAGCCCCTCTTGCTCTCTTTTGCCCTTTTGCCCTCCACCATGTGAAGACAAAGTGTTCCTCCCCTCTGGAGGTCACAGCATTCAAGGCACCATTTTGGAGTGAGAATCACCAAACCTGCCAGCACCTTGACATTGGACTTCCCAGTCTCCAGAACTCAGAGCAAATACATTTTTGTTTATAAGTTACTTAGTTGGTAGCATTCTCTTATAGCAGCACAAATGGACTAAGACAGGCAGCATTATTCTGAATACTTTGAATGTCTTCAAACTTTAGGTAAGTGGTGTCATCTGATTTACATTCCTCTGCAACTTGTTTTTTCAAGTAACACTATGCTTGTGAGGTTTATCCATGTTGATATGTGTAGGTCCAGATCAGAGGCCGACAAACCTTTCTGGAAAGGGACAGATAGTAAATATTTTAAGCTTTATGGGCCCAACAATCTGTTGTGACTTCTCAACCCTGTCACTACAGTGTGAAAGCAAGCATAGACAATATGTAAATGAGTAAATTTACATATTGGCTGTGTTCCAATATAACCTTGTTTATGAAAACAAGCAGCAAGCAGGATTTGGCCCATGGGCCATAGTTTGCTGATCTAGGCCATTCATTTTCATCACTGTGTAATATTTCATTGTATGACTACACCACAATTTATTGACCCATTTGTCTATTGATGGTATGGTTGATTGAATTATTGTTCCCAATTCTTTGCTCCATGACTGTATAGGACTATACATTCACACCCTTTGATGTATAGGGTGGATGGAGAATATTTCCCCGACTCATTGACATTGGGTTTGACCAAATGGAATTTAACCAATCGAATGATAAAGAATGTGATGCAAACAGAAGTTTTAAATACACTTATATGGTCTATTTTGGTCCCTCGCAGCCTTGACATTGGCCATGAGAACAGCATGTTCCCAGTGAGCTGTTGTCTCTTCAGTCTGTGTCCCTGAATGAGAGCTACTTGGAGTCCATGAGGACCTGGGCAGAATTACCCCGGTTCACCTGTACTCTAATGAGCAAGAGATAACTGTTTGTTGTTGTAAGCCACTGATTTTTTTAGGATTGTCTGTCACACAGCATTATTGTAGCTGACTAATACAGTGGGCAACAAATTTAAGTTGTTTCCAATTCTTTGTTGTTGCAACAAAGCACACACTTCTATATGTCAACTGGTGCACATGTGCATCGTCAGCTTCACTAGTTAATGCTGATTTGCTCTCCAAAGTTTTGTTCTAATTTACACTCCACCAGCAATGCCTCAGAGTTTTCATGGCTCTACATCCTTGTCAATACTTGGTTTTGTCAGATGTCTTCTAACTGATGGGTATAAAATTGCATTGCCGTCTAACTCTTACTCATCTTTCCCTGCGTGTGGGCCTCTTTCCCCAATGCCCCAGTCTGAAGTAGGTCCATATGCTTAATGCACCCACTGCTCCTATGCTTGCCTCTTTCATAGTGCTGGCATTGTATTTATCTATTAGTCTGTCAGTATGCAGACGGCCCTAGCATTGAGCTCAGCACATATCAGGCACTTAAGTAAATGGTTGTTGAATGAAGGATTGATGAGAAACTTCTATCAGGGTGGTCAGCTCCTGCCCTAGAGGAGTGTATGAGCTGAGACAACTGCCTCATCACAGGTGCAATACACACGTCAAGGTGTCTAAAAGGGCAGAGGCATTGCTTTTCATGTGGGTATCACACTTGGGCTTTGAATGCAGCTTGTTTTTATGCTAAAAAATGTGATCAGTCCAAGGTGGATCTCAGGGGAATTGCTAGAGAGATGTGAATGAAAGCTAAACCCTAAAGGGTCTGGGAAGATTTTGTGGGCAAATGCCATCTTTTAGAAAGCAGGTTACTCACATAGTAAATATCTAGCATATACTTCATACATATATGAAGACTTACAACCACCCTATGGGGTAAATATCAGAGGAGGAAACTGAGAAAAGTGACTTGCTCAGGGTGCACAGCTGGTGAGTCGAGGATCTGGATTAATGTGAAGTCAGGCAGTCTGGCTTCAGGGCCCGCACTGTAGCCGCCATCCTCTGCTGCTATTCTGGAAACCATCTCACTCGGCCCTGCCTCCACCCAGAGATAATTGCTTTAGCGATCAAAGAACTTAGCAATTCCCAGAGACTCCCCATTCCCACTTTGGATGGCTTGAGTTTGTTTGATGTATCCAAGGTCACATCCAAAGGGCAAAGTTCTGGGAGATCCTTGGGTAGGCCGTCTTTGTTGCCACTCAGCACTATGGGAAAACATGGAAAACATGGGTCTTGGAGCCAGGAGACTTGGGTTTTATTCCAAGCTTGGCCACAATCTTAATTTAGATTATTTTTGTCGCAAAAACAATTAATAAGTATAACAACTTCAAAACCCCCCAAATGAAGAAGAGAGATGTATGATAAGGAATGGGTGATGCTGGTGGGATACCCAAAGACTGAAACCAAAAATGGGACCATTTATAGAACCATGCTGTCATTCTGTTCCCTTCTTTCTGGGCTGAAGCCAGCATCTCAATCCAGAGTCAAATTCCTAGGAGATAAAATCTTATTGGCTTGACTTCAGTCAGGTGTTTTCTTCTGGTCCAATCAGCTGTGACCATGAAGATGGGATCACATAAACCTCAGAAAGAGGGTGGGGTGGAGGGTGGAGGGATGTCATTGTGAGCTAGGCAGATATTTTTTACAAGGTGTCTAACAAAGTTACGAATTCACTGTAGACCTTAGGGAAGCCATCTTCCTTCCTGGGTCTTGCTGTTTTCATCTGCAAATGAGAGATTTGATCTGTGTCTAGTTCACCATTACATCTACTCTCCCTGGCACATAGTGGATGTTTAATAAATATTTGTTGAATGGATGAATGAACTAGTGTGAGCTCTGAATTAGCTTCTGGTTGTGACAGTCTGTCTTTTAGAATCCTTACCTGTGAGATGTGTGGGTGTTGGAAGCTGGCAATGAGGAAGGAGAGTGGACAGACACTGGTTAGGGGTGCACAGGGACGTCAGCTTAAGCAATCTTTTCTCTGGGCATCTTTCCAGTGCCAATCCTCTGTGCTCACCAAGCAGCCTTCTGGCCAGCATTTGGCTTCTCTAATAAACACTGTCCCTGGAGGGATAGTGCCCTTTATAAGCTATTAAATTGGCTTCCTGACAATAGCCAGCACAGTGTCATTTGGGAAGTGCAGTCCAAAGGACGGGACTCTGGATGAGTCCAATGTCCAGAATCCAGCCTCTTCCACTTATTAAGTGACCTAGGTGAGTCGCTTAGCCCCTCTGAACATCACAGTCTTCATTGGCCAAACAGATATGAGAACATTTGTTCTGCCTCATTCATAGGGCTGTTGGAGGCACAGTGTGTATAAAATTGTCCAAAATAATTGAACCATATTTGCAGTGTGCTTAGTAGGTGCCAGGCACAAAATTACGTGCTGAAATGGATTATTACTTATAATCCTCACAAGAACCTTATAAGGTTGCTACTATTATTATCCCCATTTTACCGATGAGGAAACAAGCTCTGAGCTTAAATAACTTGCCCATGGTCACACAGTTGAAGAGCAACAGAGTCAGATGCCACGCTCTGAACCACTAAGATCTACAGTCTTTGTTTGGGGTCCAGCCCTAAGCAGACACATTATTATTACCATTCTTAATTTCGAAAGCCTAAGCCCCTTGGGCTGAACATTGAGGTTCCAGACCAATGGAGCTAGGAGACCAAAACCTGGACTCCAAGGAAGCATAACTTCTGGGTTTATTTCCACTGAAAAATTTTTTAAAAAACAGCTCATTATAAAAACTACATGAATCAAGAAATTTATGGCTGTAAGTGAAAGTAACCCAGCTCAAATTAGGTTACTTAAAAAAGGGAATGCTTGAGGTGATGGATACCCCAATTATCCTGATTTTATTGTTAATATTACACATTTTATGCCTGTATCAAAACATCACATGTACCCTATAAATATATTCAACTATTATGTACCCATAATAATTAAAAAATTTAAAGGGAATTTATTGGCCCCTGTTCTGGAAGGAACAAAAGTGACACTCAGACACCTGGACCTGAGTTTCAAACATCCCCAGGGCACTTTCTCTCATTGTCTCTCATAGCCCTGCCCTGTGCGTGCTGCCTGCATTCTCTCATACTCCATGAGCTTCCTGTCAGAAAGGGAGCACAATTGCCAGCAGTTATGGGATCACATGTCAGCAGCTCTGTAGCCAAAGCTGAGATGAGATTTCATTTCTGAGCTACAGATGGAAAATCTCAGGAAAGGACTCCTATTGGCTCAGTTCAGGTCATGTGTCCTCCCCTCTGAACCAATCACTATAGGAGGGAGCATGTGGTTCTATGATTGGCTACCCAGCTTGGATCATATGCTACCCATGTGACAAGTGGGAATGAATCTGTTACCAGAAAGGGGGTGGGTTATGGCAGCACAGATGTGGACTCCGGGGGACTCTTTGGAGCTTGGGTCACCCAAGAGTTGTATCCTCTCCACCTGGCAATACCAACCTTGGTTTCCTCCTGTATCTACTAATAAGAAGTCTGTGAAGTATCTCAAGATTGGAAAAACAAACACCACGTGCACTCATCATTCAATTGGAACTAACGGACAAGCACACTGCACAGAGGGAAGTAGAACTCGGTGGAAATCAAGCAGGGGGGAAGGGAGGGGCAAAATCCTACCTAATGGGTATAATGAATACTGTTTGGGTGTTGGGCACACCTATAGCCATGACTCAAGCATTCAAAAGCAATCTATATGACCAAAAACCTTTGTACCTCCTAAATATTTTTTTTTATTTTTAATTTTTTTTTTTTGAAACAGAGTCTCACTCTGTTGCCCCAGCTATAGTGCCATGGCGTCAGCCTAGCTCATAGCAACCTCAAACTCCTGGGCTCAAGCAATCCTGCTGCCTCAGCCTCCCGAGTAGCTGGGACTATAGGCATGCGCCACCATGCCCGGCTCATTTTTCTATGTATTTTTAGTTGACCAATTAATTTCTTTCTATTTATAGTAGAGATGGGGTCTCACTCTTGCTCAGGCTGGTTTTGAACTCCTGACCTTGAGTGATCCTCCCACCTTGACCTCCCAGAGTGCTAGGATTACAGGCGTGAGCCACCCTAAATATTTTGAACTAGAAAAAGAAGTCTATCCTCTTCTGTAAATGACTTCATTCATAGATGTACCTCAACTTCCTTGTCTGCAAAATGGGGGCAATAGAGCCTGCCCTACATTCCTCATAGACGTATGTGAGCACTCACAGAGCCAAAGGATACAAAAATTGCTTTAGAAAGAACAAAGCGCCGTATTTACAAACATAAGATATATTTATTGATTTATTTATGTTCCTTTGTGTTCCAAAAAAGGTAGCTTACCCAAATGCACACATTTGAGGTAGCTTACCCAAATGCACACAATACAATGGGATAAAAATAGATAAAGTGATAGAGCAGCTGGAAAACAAGGGTAGAAAAATAAAATAAAGCCAAGGAAAACGCTAGTACATGGAAATGTATGCTCAAAATCCCTGAACAAGTTCGGCTCTTAGCTTTCTCGTGAACAAAGAGAAGCGGGAAACATGCTCAGTTACAAAAGATACAGAAACCATAGGATGAAAGCAAAGCAGCGTGCCAGAAAAGGCCACAGGGCTTATGTGGACACTAATATTTGATAGAAATTTCTTCTCATCAAAAGGATACTGCGGGATGGAGCAGTCTGCATATTCAGTAATATTTAGATCCCTGTCCTTTGGTTTTCGTGATGTCATCTGACATCTACTTGAATCTTATGTGGATTCATTGTCTATTTATGATTTCATTGGATTTAATTGAACTAAAAACTGGATACCAATTAAATAGCAAGCCAAAGCATTCTTTTAATCTATTTTGCTTTCTTTTCTCTACATGGTAAAATGAACCTGGGTGCAAGGAGTGGTACACGAGTTTTCCTCAGTGAAGTATATGGACAAAAATGTTCCAGGATCTTGGCTTAGCTGAAACATATAAAGCTCACTAAGACATAAAACTGATCCAAGCAGGCTATAAAGACACCGCTGCCTTTGCCTGAGAACTTGGGCTATAATCTGCTGTCCTGGAACAAAATTCAAACATAAATCAGCTTCCACTGTATTTTTAACCACCTACGAAATTCTTCATTTCCTGCCTGAAATGCATCTGACAGTGAACAATGCCACTCTCCCTCAGCCCTGCCCTGAAGAGTTTCTCTCTCTAGGCAGTGGTGGGGACCCAAGACTGGGCCCCGCAGCAAACCCAGAATGAGGCAAGGGACTGAAAAAATGGTCTCTTGGGGTCTCCGGGACAAATAAACCAAGGGTGTTGCTAGTGTGTACATACTTTTGTAGAAAGTTGAAAAGGGTGCCCCCTCCTGGCACCCTAGCCCCTGAGTTCCCACCTGGCACACTCTCCCCCGTCTACACTAACCCATCTCACCCATCCTCCAGGGCCCACCCGGAATACCTACACCATTCCCTTTTTCCTGAGCTCCCAATGCATCAACAGTAAGTACCAGACAGCTGGCATTTAATTATATGATGTCTGGCATTCACTATTTTATGTTGTCAGTCTGTCTCTGTAACTAGATTTAAGACATCTTGAGGATAATGGTAAGTTCTTATTTTATATGTCTACCTTAAGCTAATGGGGAGACTTATGTCTGGGCACCTTACAAATAACAAGGTTGTGAAAACAGAATCTTAGGATATCTAAGCTATCTAGTTCTCCCCGCTGGCCCCATTTTGCAGATGAGGAAATTGAGAACTAAAGAGGAGGCTTGACCTGCCCAAGGTCATGCAGCGGAATCCTGGCCTAGCTAGGAACAACCCCAGTTCTCCTGGCTGCCAACGCAGTGCTCTACTTTCTTAAACACTTAGTTCTAAAACCCCCAAATAGGTGGTTCAGAATCACAGCTCACTGGGAAACAAAGACAGACAGACAGACAGACAGACAGACGGCCCAGAGTAATCCATCTGCTCTTGGGCAGAATTCCCAGCACAGAGCCAGGCCAAGCTGCTCTGCAAACAGCCCCCATGGGAATCAAAGTGGGCTCTCTGCATGTGTCAGGGGATGAAAGGACCTTGGTTACCTGGGGTGCTTGCATCCTTCCCAACACCATGGGGGTCACCATTGTCTGGAATGTCTGGGCACATGACACAGTAATTGATGGTCTCAACAGGAAGGACAGGAAGAGATGTGGAAAGGGCATCTCCTCTGTACAGAGAGACTCTTATGTTGGGGGCTGCCTTTTGCAGTGAACTATGCACCCTTGACAGCAGGAAACAACCCAAGTATTGCCCCAAACTCATAACAGCGGATACTATACAATAGTGTCAAAGCTGATAGAAACCATTATCAAAACAGTAACAAAAAATACCAATGGCAACAATTGCTAAGTGAATCCATATAATGACAAGCTGGCAGCAGGCTCATCAGTCCTGCTGGGTCTCTCCTGGTCACTCACAAGTCACAGCACTGATCGCTGAGTAATTCTCACAATGACCCAATGAGCCTGGTGTGATGTGCTTGTTTCATAGATGTGGAAACTGAGGCTTAGCGAGATGAATGAAGTCTCTTGCCCTACATGGCACTGCTGCTAAGTGCAGAGCTGGGATTGGAGTGCAGATCAATTTCACTCTAAAAGGCTCCCCTTTCACAACAGCCCTAGTAGGCTCTCATTCCAGTCTCATTTCAAGTATTTTGTCCCATTATCAGACCTATGGGACAAGGTTTGATTGGGACAATATGAGGCTTTTCAGGGAGAAAGATGAGAGCTTGCCTGTCACTTTGCAGGGGAATGGGAGAAAGAAACAAGGGACCAACACTAGGCCCACTCAGATCTCTGCGGCTTTTTCTTGGTGCCAAACAAATGCAGAAGGAGCCACTTCTAAAAGAACACAGTGTTTTTCCTCCTCTTCTCACCTCTCCTGGGCTGGTGCCTGTGATAATTGGGAAGCACAGAGTCTGGTTTTTCTGGGATTGGAACCAATGCTGTGAAGAGTGTTCTGACAATAAATGTCGTTGATTGACAGTTGATGGACAATGTTCTTGAGTAAGATTTTCCAGTGCTGGGTGTTAAGCTGAGATCTGTACCAAACAACTGCTCAGCAGCCTGCTTCCTATTCACACAGAATTTACTACACTTTCCCTCTGTGGGCCTCAGTCAGGCAGCCAGGCGAGATGATATCTCAGGTCCTTTCCGGCTCCATCACTCAATGACTCTATCAAGAAGAGAACACAGATCTGAAAACACTTTTTCCCCCAAACACTGAGTTGGGGTTATTAGTCACACACAAAAACACAGGCTCCAATGGAGAGATAACTGGTCAGGAAATAAAGAGCTTCAATTCTAGTCTCATACTCTTTGACCCAGTAATTCTATGCTGTAAATTTATCTTGTTTTTCTTTTTTTTCTTTTGGCTTATCCTGTCACCAAAAAGCAGATGTGTGAATTTATCTTAAAGAAAGAATCCAGGACAGAGCTACGTGCACAAAGATGTTTGCTTTAGCACCGGTTGAAGGTACTGTCCTATAAAATAATGTTCAATGTGAGAATGGGATGTATTCTCTTGGTGGCACATGCAGCCATCACGACGATTTCAAAGACATGGTAAAATGTCTGTGACGGTGTTTTATAAAATGCAATTCACTCTCCATTAATGGGTCATGAAATAAACTTAATAGGTCTCCTGCCATTAGCTTTTTTAAGAAAATCAACGAGAATAGAAAATAACAGAGTGTATATCACAGGTGGTAAAGGTACTTATTGTGAAACTTTGGTTTTGGTTATATGGGTAACTGGGCCATGATGTAAAATATATTTTTTATCTTGGGGTCACAGTCAAAACATTTCAATGGCCACGGACTACAGTGTACTGTATGATAGGATCACAAAGCATAAAATACTACGTGTGACATCAAGCCTGGAAGGAAGACATAGAAGCAAAGATAGGAACTGGCAAGGTTGGTAGGATAAAGGATGTTACTTCTTATGTAAGTTTTCTGTGATGGTTGTAGGCTGTTCTCACAACAAAACAAGAAAAATGATTAAGAATGCAAGACAAAAAGGAGGAGTAACAACGATCAGATCCCAAAGGGCCAAGGGCTCAAAGTAGGGCTTCCAGAAGGAACAGTGCTCCAGGCTGGGCATTGAAGGATGGACAGAATTTCAACTGGGGGTAAGGTGTGGCCTAATACAGGACGTGGTGGTCACTTAAGGATGAGGGGGATGAAGAGCACTGAAGGAGAAGCTGCAGTTATAAAAAGGCTCTCAGTGATGTAAAAGCGGCTTTGAACTGGGAAGGGAAGGGGCAGATCCACCCCTGGGTGGGCCATTGTTCCTCCCAATGCTGACTTTTTCTCTCTCCCCTCCCAAACTGAGGCCTCAAACTAGAGGTCGCCCCTCATAATCATGGCCGCGCCAAGCCGGCCGCGCCCCTCAATAAGATGGCGACTGAAGTAGTCCCACCTCCCGTTGCGTCAGCAGCCAATGAGAGAGAAACACAAAGATTTGCGCATGCGTGGTGCGACTTGGTGAGCGCGTCCAGTAATGACTGGAGGATCCCGGCAAGTAACATGACTAAAAAGAAGCGGGAGAGTCTGGGCGTTGCTCTAGAGGTGAGGGGAGAAGTGGGGGTTGGGCCACATCATTAGCTGCCTTCTCCCGCGGGGTCGCGGGTCGGCCGGGCTGTAGGTTCGAGGAAGAGCCAGGGGGAGGAGGTGAGGGCGACGCTGGTGTGGGAGAGGGACGCTAGGGGTGGGAAGGCCCGAGCGGGTCCCCGGAGAAGGGAGACGGTGACGACTGGGGAACCGAAGGTGAGGGAGCACGAGGAGTTGCCAGGTGGGGGAACCGGAGGCGAAGGGACCTCGCGGGAAGACACATGGAGGTGAAGAGGAACCCCAAAGAAGGCAGGGCACTGAAGTGAAGGGACCCACGGTGGGGGGATGGAAATAAGGAAGACCTGAGGAGAGACTTGTAAACGGAGAGTAACCAAAAGGGAGAGTTACTCGGAGGTGAAGGGGACCCCAAAGAAGTAGGGACCTGTAGATGAAGGGAACTCCCAAAAGGGCTAGGACCCAAAGGTGAGGGAGGCCACGCTGTTTAGTATATTCCTGGTGACAACGATACCCTGAGGTGAGGTACCAGAGCTTGTTGCGTGAAAATTACTTTGGGAATCTTTGTAAAGAGAATCCTGTAATTGGTGATGTTACGGAAGAGCTTAGAAATAATTTACTGCATATGGAACGGGAAGAAGAGTGATGCATATTGAGCAACTACTATATGCTGTTAATACTTTCACTTGCATTCTCAGTTAATCCTCCCTGTAAGCCTGTGAGATTTGTACAGATGAGGAAACAGATTTCAAGCAGAACCCAGGATGAAGTGGCAGAGGTGGTGGGGCTGAGAATCTAGCTTAGGTGGTCTTCCTGGAAGTATCTCTTGCTTCCCTGCTTCAGTTCCCTTTTAGGGTGTCCTCCCAGAGGTTGCAAGAGAGGTACAGGGTAATAGTCTTCAGGCTTACTGCAGAGTTCCTTGATTCTCAGACTTCAGAATGCACAGAATCACTTAAAGAGCTTGTTAAAAATGGAGAGTTGGACTCTTCCCATACCCTGAGTAATTCAGTAAGACTTGGGTGTGCATTTTTAAACAAGGAATCTGCATTTTCCACAAGTCACGCACACTCATGCGGATGCAAGTGGTTTTATTAATAGTAGCACCCCTTGAGAAATGTTGGCCTACTTGGTAGGAAAAAAGGTTGATGGAAATGTAAGTCTCAAGGATATTTTATGAATGGTGAAACGAGATGGCACTATGTATTGGGAAGAGCACAGACTTGACTGATAGCCTGTATTACCACAATAAGCTGCTATAACAGAGAAACCCTAAAACTCAGTGACTTCAAGAACAGGAAAGTTTGAGGGTTTTTTCTAATAAACTAGAGCAGGGGTCAGCAGATGTTGTTGGTTATGGGTCAGTAAATATTTTAGGCTTTGCGGGCCATATGGCCTCGGTTGCACTACAGTTTGTCCTCATTATTCATGGATTCCATAATTCTGAATTTGCCTACTGGCTAAAATGTATTTGTAACCCCAAAATCAGTACTCATGGCACTTTTGCAGTCATTCACTGGCAAATGCAAAGCAGCAGAAAAGGATTTCAGTCACCCGAGGTCCATGTTCTCAGCCAAGGTTGAATAAGTGATGCTCTGCCTTCTTGTGACCTCTTTTGAACTGTAAACAAGTATCCTTTTTGTGGTCTACTTAGTGCCCTGTTTTTTGCATTCTTGTGCTTTTTATTGGTGATTTTGCGGTTTAAAGTGGCCCCAAGCATAGTGCTTAAGTGCTGTCTAGTGTTCCTAAGTGCAAGAAGGCTGTGATGTGCCTTACAGAGAAAATAGGTTTCTTAGATAAACTTTGTTCAGGTTTGATATGACTCATGAGATAACTCAGCACTACACGTGTGCTGTTGGCCATAAGTCCAATGTTAATGAATCAACCATATATATTAAATAAGGTCACTTTAAGCAGAAACACACATAAAACAAGGTCTCATATGGGTCAGTTGCTAAAAATGTGACCAGAATCTTGCAAGAACCTAACCTGGTTCAGTGTTTGCAAATTCAATGTTGGTGGCAACTTTCTAGAACTACCATGAACAACAAGAACCAACTGCACTCATATAGCTGCCTGAACACAAAAGCAGCCTTAGGCAATATGTAAATGATGGGTGTGGCAGTGATCCATTAAAACTATATTTACAAAAATAGGCAGTAGACTATTTGGCCCACAGGTCAGTTTGCCAGCCCCTGGTCTAGAGTGCCAGGACTGTGGTGGTTCTGCCAGATTCCCTCCATCTGTGGCTCTGCTGTCTCCCAGGGCCTTGTTACCACCTTATCAATGGAACCAGGATGCTCCCTGTTGATATGTCCACTGGCAGGGAAAGAAAGAGGATGGAGGAGGCACACCCACTGTCTTAAGGATCCTGGGCCCAAAGTGCCCACTTGCCATTGGCAAGACCGAAGATGTGTGGCCCCACCTAACTGCAAGGGGGGCTGGGAAAGGCATTCACCAGTCAAGCAGCCACATGCCCAGCTATGGCTCAATTACTGTGGAAGAAGGGACTAGCATGTTTTAGTGAATGTTCTGCAGTGGAGACTTACCTCACTTCATAGTGTGGCTATAAGATTAAATGAAACAATATGTGTAAAGTGCCCAGCACGGGGTTGGTAATCAATAAATGGTAGCTGTTTCTTATTAGTAGCCTTTTCCTTTTAGTTCTTTTGCATCCTTCCACGATGGTTGAGTCAGCCCCCTTGTTTGGGCTTCATTTTCTTATCTGTAACATGAAGGACTTAAACTTCACCAGGGCTTACAGAATCACTGACTATGGGCCAAATACAGATCACAGATGTCTTTTGTTTTGCTGACACTGATTTTTTTAGAGTGTTTTTAATTTGGTGGGGCTTGTGTTTTCTTAGTGCCTTATATCAGGGCAGATTTACCCAATTTTTTTTACCCTCTCCATACCACTAAAGATATTTATATTTGCCAACTTGGTCTCTAAGGTTACCTTTTGCATGGAAATTTAAAGATTGGAGATCTGTAACTGTGTGCCTGGCTGTCTCCCCGCTTGCTCCTCTGTTGCCCCCAGCGGATCTGAGTATTGAATGTGCAGTGGTGCTCAGTAGCAGTAGATATTGTCCTCTTATTAAAAGTCGTGTGCTCAGAGCCAATGAAGTGGTGATTTAATCAAAAATGTTTGTTAATCTGACGAGCGCAATAAAACCCTCACAAGTGAGTGATCTCGGCACCTGCAAACAGTCTCCACTTGTAATGAAGCAATTACCAAGCAGGCAGCACTGGCTCAGGCCAGCTGTACCTAACAGTCACCTCTTAGGATAACCAAGGCACCTTCTAGCCTCCCACTTATGGTTCTTTTTGAGGCCTTTTTATTCAACTCATTTGCCACCATGTGAGATCTCAGAATTGGAAAAAACTGGCTGTGAGTGTTAGTTTCTGAGAGTTTATTCTGAATAACAGGAGAAAATTATAGTTCAGATGAGAAATCACCAGCCCCGGTACTGATTTTAATGTTGTGTGGGAGGAGGGAAAGATTGTATTTCAGTCTAAACTGATGGGAGGATTCTGGCTGAGGGAAAAGTTGCATTTCAGTCTAAAGTGATAGGAGGATGGAAAACCTGTTTGTTTTTTGATCTCTGATGATGGTAGTGAGCCATTACTTGGTCATTCTACTTTTCTTTTGTAGCTGGACTGTTCAACCTGGTATCTTTAGATGTTTCAACAATCAGTTGATCTTAACAGATGTGTGGTGTCTTAGCTGACATCTTAAAAGGGATAACTTGGTTAGATCTGGTTTCTAGTACAAAAGTCTATTAGTTTGGAAAATTTCTAGCTATAAGTTACAGAAAACTGACTTAAGCAAATAGGGGTATACTTCCCCCCATAGAAATTTGTAGGTAGGTGGCTACGGAGAGTAGCTCAAAAGCTCAGCTGTGTCAGGGCTGGTATTTCTGCATGTGCTCAGCTGTTTCCTCATAGTCACAGGATAGCTGCCACAACTCCAGTCATCATATTCAATTTTAAGTCAGGAAGAAGGAGAAAGGAACAATAACACTTTGTCCTTTTGATCAGCAAAGGATAAGCTCTCCCAGGTATCTCCTGGGAGACTGGAATAGCTCATTGGCCAGAACGGGGTCATGGCCAACCCTAGCTGCAGTAAGGCTGGGAAAGCATCTGTTGGGATTTTCTAACATCTGTAGAGGAGATGGGTAAAGGAGACGTTGGGAGTCAGTGTTGGGTTGGCCAACTAACAGTATCTGCTGTAAGGAATAAAAGTTAATGGGAGTCATTTAAAATTCACTGGAATCCTTGCTAGAAAAAGAAGGCAGATGATTTACAATTCAAGAGAGGTGGTAGGCTGAGGGGAGAAAATGGCCTAGGTCAGGATGAGCACTAGGAGAAAAGGAGCCTTGACACTTGTAGTCATTTGTTTAACCACTTCAGTAAGAGCATCGACCATAGTTGACAGCCACAGATGAGCGCGCACAGCCGAGCGTGGACTTTAGCCGACAGCCGTGATATGACTTTTCTAATTTTTCATTTATCAAAATAAAATTGTGAACATTTAAAAATAACGTAATGAAAATAGATATGTCTATGTTACCTATTCTGATTGACAAGGAAAGCTGCCTGTAAAGTAAAACAAGCTTTCAGTGCTTTCAAGCTTTCCTCATCACACAAGAGCAAACGGGCTCGTCGTCAATGCACAGCACAAACCGCCGTGCGGACTGTGAGTGCGGCTGTGGGCGAGGTGTCGCGGCCGGTGAGCGCCGCACCCAGGTGGTTAATGGCAGCCGCTGCTGTAAGCTCCGTGAGGGCAGAGAGGGGCGGAAGCACTAAGTGTGGGTGAAGACAGTCTCAGCTCTGGAGCAGGCTGTGCACAGGGCTGAGGAGAACCTACCAATCTTCTGAGACAAGGGCTAGAAGCAGCTTAGTGGGCCGTCAATAAATATGTGCTGAATTGGCTTGACTGGCAGGAGGAGGCACTTGAACCCTCCACTCTGACGTCTGGGCCCAGTGGAGTGGTTCAGTGGTCA